GATTATCGAGAGGATTGAATTATCGACTGAACAGGATGATAAAACCTTCGTACTATCTAGAGTCTGTAAGTAGAAGCAATGGAAAGAGGAAGAGAAAAAAGTTTGGTTCGTTATCGGGACATTGCCTCATATCAACGCAAACGGGTAAAATGGGGGGTAAAAAAATCATCCCGTGGACTCTCGAACAAATCAGATTACACGAGAGGGCAACGGTACAGAGGTCTTGCCAGATATCAAGAACGGGTGCTTTCTCACCAGAAACGAGGCCAGATCTCATAATCACAAATTACGTAAGAGTGAGAGCTGATTGTGCGTATATATATATTCCGAATTGAAATGTCTCATCGATATTGAAACTTTTCGTGGATCGACTAATGTTATCCATACATTAATTTCTCTATTTCTGCTATCTTATCTTTTTCCATCTTCTTTCCATCTTTTTCTTTCTTATTCCATCGATCAAACAAAAACTGATGCTCGTTAACGGCTTTCGAATGAAACAACATTATGCAATCATTAATACATTTAACGAGGTTACGGCGTTGTTCGTCCCTGTGCACCGGTTTCTCGTTGTTTCACTGACCTGTCTGACCGCGGTCAAAAGTAGCCATTTGCAAGTCGTGGCCCTGGCAATTACCAATTACGAACGGTGACACGATAACACGAAGGCCGAAACTGCGATGGTGTCCGGTCACACGGTGCCGTCTTCTTGATCCATTAAGAGACCGATCAGGAAACGGCGGATAGCTTTTATAAGAGGTCGGCTGCGCGGTCGACGTACTACGCTCAAGAATTCTCTCACCGTTTTACAGCCAGCGCGTTCTCCCATTCCTCACCCACTCAGAAAATTCAACTACGCCGATCAAAAGTTACAGACAATTACTCGGTCTCCGGATTCTATCGATTTTTCGTTGAATCATGTATACAATCGCTAATGTGTCACGAGTAAACGCAACACGTAATCGCACCAAATCGATTAGCTTGCTGCTTTTTACGATAAAACGTAAAAAATATTTACTGGATACGTATTTTGAATAGTAGACGCGCATAGCTTGAAGCAAATATTGAATAAAAATCTAAAAAGAAAAGAATAAGATAGATTGCCTGAGCTTTGATCTCAATCGTGTTCCCCTTTTTTTTACAGAGCTTTTTGCCTATGTTAAGTATGTATCTTGTAAGAAGGTTTTTATGCAAGTATATGAGAAACTGTTTATACAAAGAATATAAGTACTTCGTTATATGAAATATGCGCAAGGATATGTTACAAGTTTCGTTGCTCGATCACATCCGACAACATTCAATAATCAGCCAAAACGAAGACCGCGAGATGCTGGCAGGAACACGAAGGTTAAGACAGCTATTCGTGAGCGTGCTCGAAATGTCACATTGTACCGAGCGCGTCGCAAGCATGACGCAGAAGAATTAGAGGGCAACGACGTAACTACACGGCCCAGTGCACCGAGGTTCGATTTGACGAGTAATCGGAAGGAAAGGCCGTGCGCACCGGCTAAGCGTCGGGTCACGTGCGCGCGCGTTAAGTGACGCCGCACACGTGCACGCAACTGCAACCGGTATACACGCGTGTGCAGGCAGAGCGACGCGGTCATTGCGCGACTCTTTCCTCGTCATGTTCTCCTATCATACGAACCCCGCACACATGCGCAACTGCAGCATCTGAATAACATCGGCTATCTTCGTGTGCGTGCATTCTCGGTATCTATAAAACGACGTTAAGATGTCACCATGTGGTGCAACATATTTTCAGGTGGCGAACAACACCATTCCCCTAGGTGGAAGAGACGGCACTGTGCACAGTCCGAGCGAATTATGTGAGTCGCGCCAAACTGTGCACAGCTCCCCTCTCTGTTTCTCTTCCGAGGGCTGTCTCTCTTACTCTCTCCCGGAATCGTTATAGCTATAGTTAGATCAAGCAGACATGGAACGACGTCTCCACTGGGCTACGAGGAAGCTAGCTATACATGACGAGCCCTGAAAACCGACCGCTGGTTAACCTAATCGCGAGCTGCCAGACCGAACAACCCAAATGACCACTGGAGAAATTCGTGCGACGCGCCTGCATATTTCTGCGCGCGCACACCGGTATCGTTGCGGACCCGTCTGCGCAGTGCTGACTCCAAGCGCGTCTTAGGACTGAAAGAGTTATACTGTCGTAGAATTTAAAAAAAAAACCGAGAAAAGTATGTTTCCTCTAAATATCTGGAGGTTTAAAAATGAAGTGTACATAATTCGAGATGCAAATATAAACGAATTTACATGTTACAGAGTCTGAAACGAACTCTGTGTATGAAATGTTTGTTAGAAGAAGGAGTTGAAAAAGCTATTGACAATTAACTAAAAATACCATTCTGTTCCGAGAACTTTTCAAATGACTTACGTACTTGTATATATTACATATAGATAGGAGGTCAGGCCTGCAATCGTAATAAATAACAACCTAATATACATCGTTCCATATTGAATGAATCAGTTTAAGAAACTCGAGCTCCACCCTGAATTTTTCTATAGTAACTTTGTCCTCTTGTAACATAATTGTATTCTTTTTAGCAGTTTATTGCAATTCAATAAGCCTGTTTTTCTGTAAAATGTAATACACATTGGCCTAAACTATACTATTCATCGTACATAATCAGACGTCTGCTTCTCCGATGTTCCTGACTTAGATATTCTAATTTTCTACGTTATATGTGGCACGAGACAAGCAAGTGTGCTCGTGCGCTTAAATATGCGTGAAGTTACCGACACTGTTTGGAACGAGTATTAAATGTCTACTAGTATCTACGAATGTTGCAAACGTACAAGTGTATTTTAATGCGAATATTGAATGTCGTATGCAAACATCACATGCACGAAGTTGGCATAATGTGTCCAGGTAAATCAGCAAAAGAAATTAATGTTGGACAACCTAGAGAATTACGTTTCTTGAAATTATGTAGGTCCAAAAATGAGCTATATGTGTATTTAATATGTTAATATTTCAGCCAAGTACATATTTAACCAACAGTCGAATACGATCTTTATTTAGATTACATATGTAGTGAACTATTATCAGCTAATGCGATTACTTTAATACACTATATAATGGACAGACCCCTCGTTAATATTTCATTTGTCAAATATCGAACACATTAAAATATTTTTCGCCTTTTTCTTACTCTACCTATTTATTGCTACTTAAAAGAAAAAATCATCCTTATCATATATTTACTGTAAAAGATTTTCCAATGATACTGACGCAACGAGATAAACATCGACTCCCTTCTTCACCGATAGCAATCATCCTCGTCATTGAAAGCAAATGAACGTTGCGTATACAGCAATTAAATTATACTTATGTTCCGTGGCGAGTGTATACCCAATGCATAACCTTCGCCGCTATTAAACTAAAACGAGCGGAATATCTCGTCCTGAAGGCAGACGGTGCTAGAGCATCTAAGATACCGTTGTAAAATATACAAGAGGGTCGGTAACGTATATAGGAACGTATATGCCGACAACGAGATCGCGGGCATGTGAAAGGAGGGCCTTCTCGAGTCTGTATATCTCTATCGACTGTTGAACCACTTCATACATTGTATGAAACGGTGACACGCGTGGATGGCTGAAAAATCACACCCTTACGGAACAAAAACGTCTCTGTTCGGCAAGATTACCTGCGAGATGTGAAAATTGTTCACGCCGCGGTAACGACAAAAGGCGCGCGCCTCCTCTCTTTGTCCTTGGAACCTGCGCGGTAAATGAAAATGAAAAGAAAAATAAAACAAGAAATGGCGAAAAATTCGTCCTCCATCCTGCACACTAACGCGGATCAAATTGTTTGCACAAACACGAAACAGGACGTCGTGCGACCCACGTGCGTTCAGGTTTTCGAAAGGCAAGCGTGTGTAGCAAACACAAAATTCTCACGGGTTTCTTTCTCTATCTCTTTCCGTCCTTTTCTCGCTTTTTCCGTTCCCTACCAAAGAATAGAGCCACGAAGAAAGAACGCCGTTTTGTCGAGCCGAGGACGTTAGCGTAACGACCTCCGAACTCGCCCGAAACGAGTTTCTTTTCTCGATTGTGTCGCATTCACGGTACTGCCGCGACGAATGACGAATAACCAAACGCGTGATTAGCATACTCATGCGGGTACCCGAATTCGGCGAACTGCACTCTCTCCCGGGTGCGGAGCGCCGTGCCTTCAATTGCACTCGATTAAGAGGATTCTTAGTCCGACCTTGCTGCCTCCGTTTAGGAGGGTACAAAAGAACCAAATGAATAAACTGGTTGATCCTTTGGCGGATGCATCAGATAAAACGTATCCCGACCCAGAACAAGAGGTATATTTCTGCTACTTAAATTTCACGGCAAACCGCATACATATTGACATATGAAAATGAAACGATGTTAATATTTCCTGTGAATTATAGTCTGGTTAACCTTCACGCTAATTAACCATGCTATTTTGTTAGCAATTACGAAACTAGATAACATGTTCACTTATTAACCAAAGATAAAATATACAACATTCTATAAGAAAAATGAAAAATCTGGAATATTTATATTAGAGGAATATGAAAATTTAATGAACGTATTCTTTTTAAGTGTAATTATGTCATTTCAACTGGACTTGGAAAAATAGTGATTAAAAAGAGACGAAGAAGTATAAACGACACGTGGAGTGAAGTCAATGTCGCAACGCATAGGTTAAACTATTCAACGAGCAAAAAATGAAATGAAAATTGGTCAACTTCTTCCTTACTCATTTCCTATAATTATGAAAACGTACATATATATAGTATTTCACTTATTTCTTTTATTATATGTATAGTATCTATACATATCTATATACTTATATATAATATATTATATACAATAGTATAATATAATAATATAATATATATATAGTCAGAGATATGAGTATGATGACGCGACGGACAACGGAAATACAAAACAACATCTTAAAGAACAACGTGAAGAAGGAAAACAGAATCGTGACTCACCGGAATCGGAAGGTGTCTGCACTCCAAGGTGTTCTAAATTCTTGCTGAACGACTGATTCAAGTGATAGCAATGGTCGCTGAGAGTATTTCTGATATTCGTCTCTCTATGCACTTGACACTGATCCTGCTCTTTTCTTCTGCCACGTCGACCAGTCTTCCGCTTATTCTGGCTTACTCGTGCAGTTTTGGTAGTTGGTGCTGATATACACTCGGATAATTTCTCGTGTATGTTGATCTGGTCGTGTCGAAAGAACGGACCTTCGTCCTCTGTTTCTGTATCGGAACTGGAGCTTTGTGGTGTATCCGGCCTAGTGGATTCGCCGTCGCTCTCCAGATTTCTTGCACTGCACAGTTGCTGAGCCTGTTGCTGATTGACTGCCAACGAAGTCCCTATAAAAGCGGTATTTGCTCGTGATATCAAAAGGCTTCGACCAGCCGGCACCTTTTTCTGTATTAGCGACTCCTTTTTCGCAGGCAACGTTCTGTTGTGTTCTTTACTGATGCATAACCCTGCCCACATACAGTCGTGATGACGTATCTCTCGAGACAGGCAGGTCTTGTCGTACTGTGGATCCGACAATATGCCATCGTCGAAGGTGCGCTCGCAATACATTTCCGTGTAGGCGTCCACTCTGTGATCTATAGAGAGGAAGTCCGGAAGATCGAACTTTTTCCATATGTCGTCGGACACCACTGTCGCAGTGTCCAGGGGCTCGCCTAACAGGCCCAGGTCAGAGGAGTCCCAAACCGGCACCGGCATTTTGCCTAGAGGAATCAACCATACCATTCATCAACAATCATTTCGGTTAAATCCTCCTAGGAAATTAAGTCGTTTTATGTTCAAGTCTTTGATAAAATTGCTAAAAACTTTGTCATTGAGTATTACACCACTATTTGAATAACATGCATAATGCGAAACGCTGAAAGTTAAAAAAAAAAAAGAAGTTTTTGCCTTTAACCCTTAGAGTGCTGAATATTCGCGGCCTATGCGGTCCGTGCGGACCAGCGCTGACGATCGCTGTGGACGGAGTACTTTTTCGCTAGACTGAACTCTGTTGATTGACTATTCAAAGCGCAAACCGTAATAAACTATAGTAATTCTTTTGAACGAGATTAAATGATTCAAGAGCGTTATTTTTTAACATTAATTATTTATTATTCGTTATTTATCTCCCACAAACGTAATGGTATTACATCTGCGTAGGTGTTCGGAAAAATTGACAAACGGATATATGCGTCCTTAGTCCACACCGAAAGCTTTCGCCAGACGCATATATGCATAGCACTGTAAGGGTTAAATATTTTCCTTCCGAATTTTAACTTTCAACGTTTTTCGCACTATGCATGTTATACAGATAGTGTAATACCCAATGACAAAGTACATACGATAAAAGAAGACTTAACCCCAATCATTATTAATTTTAAGAGGGAAAATAAGGAAGGCATTCTAAGAGAGAAAATCAAAAGTTCTTTTATGTGTTATCACTATCTGTATAAATTTCAATTGGAAATGAAACTTGTCGATTATCTAATCGATCATCCATAGAAAGCAGCCCGGTTCCTTTACAGTTACAGCATGTTGCATTACCGTACAGCACTGTTCGGTACTGCGCCGCGTGTCGTAACATCAACGCATTATCACAGAAATCAGCGAAACGAATATGTACAGTTAATGCTATGAAAATACGAACAGAGGTCGGAACTGGCTCGCGTGTACGCAATAAAAATAGACGTCCTTCGTTGCCGACATATCCACTTTGCACGCTTTTTTGCTGCGTCTTGGTAAAAAGCGCCAGTTAAACATGGGATAAAATATCGACGATTAACGAAACAGAAAATGCAGAATGTCTATAACTACAACTTTGTTTGTTTATTAGGGAAAAGATTTCTTGTAATCAAAGACTCAAAACGACAAAAATTTCTAACGAAATTAAAAATTCGTGCATTTTTGCCATCACCATAGACATGTTGTCTCTTACTCTATTGACTCAGGTCTATTGTTCGCTTCAAGTATTTTCTATACTATGTATTCTTATATGAATCTTTACAAGTTAACAAAAGACCATCTTCAACTATACTAGGGGAAAAATACATGCATTTATACACATATTTATGTTTCCTACATTCACAGATGCGTTATTTACGCTATTTATCGATAAGTAACTAAGGTCATAAATCAGTGACACGTGACACATTCTTTACGATTTTCTGCTTGCGAGCCTATTGAAAATTATAATACCAAATGAGAAATGCTATTCTGCTTCCTCCGATAAACGATACGGCTGATGTGATGATCGTAATTTGTAACTTATAAATTGTTCGTTACAATAATAAAATCAACTTAGATAGATTTACTGGGAAGAAACATCTTCACACTTCTGATACTTGGGTTCTTGGTGCAAAACACTTACAGCGGTCGATAAGCCTCTGCACATGGGAACAGAAAATAAAAAGGAACCGGTACGAATCGAATTCGCTCGGGTACGAGGTGCCTTCGAATAAATCACGGCCCGCTTCACGAAACATCCCTAGAGAACGCAACTTTTTCCCTCCTTGCGTGAGGGAACCGTTACGCATCTTTCTCTGCACCGAACGGCAAACCGACAACGGTTCACAGTACGTTTTGTCCACCAGGTGTTGCAGTAAGATCCTTAGAATCTCGTGTAATCTCGCATAAGCAAAGAATAGATTGTCTAAGTCTACGGTTCAACTATGTATTCCGAAATAACCATCTGAATGCAAAGAGGACAGTAGTGGACATCGGTAGTGATATATACTTAGGAATAACCGTGCCGCATCTACGATACGAAGAGAAACTAATTCTTTAGCGGGATGACGCATCGCTTTGCATACGTTAACACGTTGCACATTGACACACTGGCAACGAGATTCGATCTTGGCGATCACTCGTAGCCAATGTGATCGTTGGGAACGTTCATCGAGAAAGAAGAACACACAAGATGGAGGTGGAGGGAGCTCGGATGGAGATGCATCGAAAAGTCAAATGGAATGACTCGATATGGGCGGCTCGAGTGACTCATGAGACTTACAACGAAATTCGTCGGCTGTATCGGTTTCGCGGATCTACAACACCAGAAGAGAAGCTCTGCTTTTTATTGTCGGCGGCCTAACTCAAACATTACATTCGCTCGATTAGGCCCACCTCGACGGTGACAATCGAAAGCGCGCGTGCGGTCGCCGGTTATCTTTTTCGTTCCCGCGCCGACCACCCTCCGCGAGCCAATTAATCGTTGCATAACGCCGATTATTGCGGAAACTGTCACTTTCGCGATAAACATGCGCATACGCCGTTGCATGTATCATTGAAAAACACAAAATCACTGAGACAAAGTGCGCTTAAAGGAAACAGGAATGAGAAAAATATAAATAGATATCGTTGGGAAATAATTAAAAATTCCGCACATTAGGAAATATAGATTCTATTTAACATCTTCAAGTGCTGTGGGTGTTTTCAAGTATTTAGCATTTTTTTTGGACAATTTTGGAATTATGAAAAAAATAAAAATGAACAGATTTTTATCATTTTTTGTACGAAAAAAAAACACATGACCTACAGGATACATTCGCAGTCAAAGTGTTAAGCAATTAAAGAGTTAAACGATAGAATTATTTATTACCACACAGTTATTTGTCATTGGGAATATATTTAAGCAATTAAATTTTGTCTTTACTCAAAATTTTACAACCCGACTACGTATCTCTTTACAATCTCGTACCATGTGACCAAACATTGTAACGATAGTAAAGCAGTGGAATTAAAACGCAAAAAAATATACGCGCGCCAAAACTGGTATACACATCTGTTTCTTTTCGATCGACAAGAAAGACAATCCCGCACGGTATTTACGAGAAGAACAAACAAGGTTCGAGAACGATTTCGCCGAAAAACTAAACTACATATCGGTGTTAATATTTTGACAAGCATTCCCCGACAAAGACGTTTGATGGTAAATGAGTCTGGTTCACGTTTTACGTGAGATTCTTATCGAAAACTGGCATGAGGGCCAGAAAAATAAGCAACAAGAATGAAAAAAAGTGAAAGGGACAGAAAGGCGACAGAGGTGAAAGAAGGAGAGAGACAGAAAGAAAAACCATGGCCTTTATGACTCGGTCACCCGTGAAAAACGCACACCGTTGAAAAACAAAGACACATTATCCGTTCCTACTTGCCCCTGCTTTACCTCTGAATCGAACAAAAGACGGTCGATAGGGGAAATCACCTTCCTAGAACGGCCTTGGAAGCGAAAGAAAGCATCAGTGTATACCTCGCGTTTACTCTCGTCGTGAGAGAGAAAAACGGAGGAGAAAAAGGAGAGTAGAAAAGAAACGAGATAAACTTTCGTGAAACCGTTCTCGAAGCGTCGACCAAACACGCGGGAAAAAAGTGTTTCTCGTCGAATAATAAACAGACAGGGGCAACAGAGCTCGCGCTAAGTGTTTTGGGAAGAAACGTCGGTAATAATATCTGGTGCGAATTTCACCGAACGCTGGTCGTGTTTCTACCGAACCTTGTTACCAATCGATAAGTCTTCTTTCTCCCCGGTTACGTAACAGACACAATCACGTGTATCGCGATCTCGTTGGTAATGGATAACACTTTCACGAAAATTGCGTGGCGACACTTCATCGGCTTTAAAAACTCAATTTCACGATACACGACAGGCTAATGTCACACTATATGCATATGCTCGTAAAAGAGAGACACGATTTCGAAGTTTACTACATTCGTGTGCATGATGGTAAATTGAATATCGACAAAGGCGGGAGCGAGGGAAAGAGGAAAAAAGAGAAAGAAATTATTTACCGACCCGATAAAGACACCGGCTGACCGCTTTCGTTTAGACAGGACTTTCGAAAATCTATATATACATGTACCACACGTACGATCATACTTGTAAGTGTATTAAAGCACATTCCATGGCCACGAGAGCGTCGATCGATGGATCGAACTTTTCTGCCTACACGCGCTGAGAGAAACAGACAAACCGGTCCACGGGCAACAGCTTTAGATATAGGTAGCGCCGTGTGCATGTGTTGCGTGTGTCTCGCTAACTTCCGTCGAACATTATCGTTCGAGCGTGTAACGAGCTGACAGCTTTCCTACCGCACTCTAATTAACGGTGGCTTTCTTCGTGAGACGAAAGGACGCAGGACACACCGGCAAAAGCGAAATGAAAAAAGACGCTCTCCTCCCATTCGTTGTCTTACTAAAGTTCCTATACAGAGGCGTAGTTACACCAATTTGTGAAACCGTAGGAGACGCGCGAAAGCGCGGGCTAGATCGACATACTGCATAATGTTGCAACAGAAAGTGCAACATATCGGTTAACGTGCCTATCTCCACTTGACATATTTTCACGTATATCGATCCCGATGAGACGCGACGCGTGTTATTTGGTTACATGAACGACAACCCGTGTATGGCTATGGCCGATGGTAAAACGATTTCCGAAATGTCAAACATATAACAAAATTCCAACGAGAATAATATACACGCAAAGAAAGTCATAGTTAAATCTTGAAATTATTTTGAATAACACAGGAAACTTGAATTTGGAAGTAAAACAGTTATCGAAATATCACACATCAAAAATCAATTCGTCGATCGTTTGAAAAACGTATGGAAGAATGAAAAATAAAATATCGACAAATATTTAAAAAAGTTATCGAACAATAAAAATAGTAATTCCGTACAATAAAGATGATGCGTTAAAATATACATTCTAAAACCGAATTTCAATAGATCAGAACGATATATACGAAAAAAAATCGAAAATACCAAATTTTAAGTTTATTCTTGTATTTATAGATCAAAATTCGTCGGTTATTTAAAATTAATTACCGAAATCGGAAATTACGCGCGAAAAATCAAACACCACAAATTTTGGCGGTAAACTTACTAATAACCAAAAATCATACCGGATAGACGTGGCGAATCGAATATATTTAATTCTATTTATAAGAGGCAGTATAAATTCGAATAGACCGGCTAGTTGCCAAAGAAGAAATTGCTAACTTACTACAAAGTGTTCGAGGAATTTCACTTTTCGCGAAATAAGCTCTCATCGATATTTATACGCGAAACCATGGATTCGAGTCAAAAGGCTATAGATGAATCTTCGAAAGCACGCCGGACTATTTGGCAGAATTTTAATACGTTCTAAGTATCACTTGACGAGATGGATCTGTCTATAAAATTTACTAGTATATTAACGTTAATATGTCTCGGGAACGATTGAGACGCGAACGATCCCGTTTCTCATTGAAATTCCAGCTCGAACCGGTCGCGAGTGGCGGCGTTCGCGTGGAACTGTCAAAATGGGAAAAGAAATGCACACAAGCGCGAGGTCTATTGTCGATACATGCTTTAACCGCGATTACGAACGTCATTCATTTCGAATTCGTCATTAAAATCGAGCGAATGAAAAAAGAAAAGGATAGACGAAAATGGAAAAAAATGTATAAGTTGCACTGTACTAACCTGTCGGCCACCTATCGTTGTAACCCAAAAGAGAGATAGTATCCTCCACTGTGGAACACACTTTGGCGCGAGTTCGAGTCTCGCGCTAGAAACTAAACCAATAAAACAAACTTAGGCGCGTCCCGCCTCTTTTTCTTCTATATGGCGTTGTCTATAGATTCTGTTTGGCCCGGTCTCGAATGATGGATGAGCCTCGCGAAACCGAACTATTACGCGGCACTGAGCAACAAACTATACGTAAACAAAAAGGACGAAAAAGAATGAAAGAAAAAACGGCGTCGATTTCCTTCGTTATGCCCGTAGCAGACGGAACGCGTGAAAAATGGTAGTGTTGTGTTTATCGACGAGAAAAATTCGTTCAGGCGATGCAGCCACTGGTACTACTGTCGTTTGGCCGTAAACTTTCCACTCGTTTTCTTGTATTATCGAGACTGTTGTACAACGAAAGACTGCTGCTACTACAACTGCTGCTGCTGTATTTTACCAAGCAAAGAAAGAATTTCATTCTCGGCGCGATCCGTACGGTAAGCCGGTGGCTCTAACTCTCTCTTTCTTGTGCACGCGCACGGTAATCGGCGGCGATCCGATCTTCACTTTAAGGCCGGTTAAAGGCGACTAAACTACTCGGCTCGTGCGCCTTCCATCTTCCGCAGGCATGCCCACCGCTACGGGACCCGGCGTCAGGGCTGTGCCACCAATCGTCGCGCCCCATTCTACCACCACTCTACGCATACTATACTTCTGGTTCGAGTATTTCGCCCCCTAGTGTCGTATCGCTCGATAATCGCGTTGCTACTTAAGGACACAGTCTAGTCAAAGCGCTCCCATTCTATCATATACGACCAATCGTATACAAGTATCTGTCTACATACTACTAACTGCTATTCGTAAATAATTACCTTATCATCGAGTACGTACGGCTATAATTGATGTTTCATGATACGATAAGTGATGAAGTTGAACAAAAAAAAAAAAAAAATTTTTTGTTTTTTTACCAGTTTTCCAGTATCGAACCAGCAATTAACGATAAATTGTTTATGCGTTTATGACTCAGAGAATTTTCCGCGTTTGCTTGTTTTTGCAACGTTTTCCTTTTAGCTCTAATCATTGTTTCTAATCATGGATTAATGATTAGAACCGAAGATCGGATCTTACAGAAATACGTGATTTATTATTTGGAAGATGTTTAACGAGCCTCGAATAAAAATTATTATAAGAAGGAATACAAAATTGCAACGAAATACCTCACTTTTTATAAATAAGACGTATTGTACATAATATCCGTAAGATCAGACATAACTTTACCGTATAATTTCGTTCTATGAAAATATACAACCGAGAGATATATTTATTAATTGATATTGTTCGTCCTGACTTACAATCGCGATATATCATCTATTTTTGACTTGTTGAATACAAAGCATTTACAATCCTTCCAGCGCTAACTAACTCGCATATGCATAATCAACAATATCTTCGTAACTTGCTAACTAAAATTTATAGCCCGTATACACGCAAGTTCATTGACACATTGTACAAACGAAGCCATCTGCAGTCGATTCCAAGATAGAGCGATCATTGTTTCTGACGACTCGAATACCGATCACAGTTTACCCCACGCTCACGTTAGACAGGTAGTATAGCGTTCTTTTGTATCACGTCGCAGCTGCTCGACCTGTGTAGTTGAGAGAATATGTTATGGTTTGATGTACGCCATCTCGCATGAATTTGTCATGGGAGAAATGTGGAGGCCACATGTGGAGTAAGCTTGTGGTTGGCAACCTGTCGGAACCTGTGCGGATTTAATACTACAACCAGTCGTGTAGTATAAAAGATATTATATTGGCGACTCTCCCACAGTTATTATTCTTCGTAACAACCGCTCTGCTCTAGGCGAATCCAACGTCGAACGCTCCTTTCGTTCAAGAACCGATCTTTCTTCTTTTCTTGCTTGTCGTTTCTGCAATTTAATCGGGTTTTCCTTATCGCCAAACATCAAACGGCAAATTCGTAAATAAATCTGAGAGATTCACGCTTCCTGGTTTTTATACGTAATCCCGTAACAACTTCCTTTCGGCACGTTCGTTTCCAAGGCAACTGAAACAATCATATTCCTGTTATTACGCGTTACGATGCGATTGCCTCGTTTTTAAATCGGGCTTACATAATAGCGAGGAACTGATTGAAAAAATAACGGAGAAAAACTGACTCGATAATATTTCAAGTCAACATTGTCGCTTAGAGATTCGTTCGTGTTAGTCAAGTTACTTCAAATCAAGCAACTAGAATGGCTAAAATCGCGAATACCTGAAATCGATGTAGGCGATATTCGCAAACGTTAAACTATAAATAATATTATGTTATCTAGCAATTGTTGTTCCTTTCAACTCAACGAGTAGTTGAAAGAATATCTAAAATAAAGTATACCTAGAATAGATTCGTTTATGGAGCCAGTATCGGTAAGAGTAAACATAATCGAAAGAGTGGCAAATTTTCTTGAAACTTGAGGGGATATGCATAGAGTTATTTCAGTACAAAAACTTGAGAATAAATTCGAACATCTTTCGTCTCAAAGAATTCATTTCTTTTGCATTTATTATTGATTTCACGGAACCCGCTTTCTCTTTCAGTTCTGTCCTAAGGAACAATGTAATTAGCGAGCATGTGGCAACGTATCTTCTTCTCGAGGTACTTATTAACTTAAGACTTAAGAGAAGTTTCACGTTGGCCATGCCCGAGAAGGCTGCTTCTAACGTTTGTAGCCCTTGACACACAATGTTGTGCAATTCGAAGCAGCACGGAAACCGGCGGTTGATAGCGTCTTAACGTTACATCGCCTTCAGCGGTAAAGGGTTAAATTTATGACAGGTTTCAACGAACCGAGATTATTGATTATAGATAGATCTCCCTTTCTATCAAAGTTTTCATTATCGTCTGCAAGTGAGTCGAGCAAAGAATAACAAAAGGATAACAATCTCCATTCGTAAACGTGTTAAAACTTTAATTTGTTCGCATCCGCGCACCCTTTATCGTAATTATTCATAGAGTTCGTGAAAACAACTTGTTGAACCTTATTTAACCCTGAACTCGATTATCAATATAGGTAAACTCTGTGTATTCTTTGAAAACGATTCACTAAAAGACTGTATACGGGAGTAATATACCGTAAACATTTTTCTCAACTCGCGGCTTCTAATTCGATCTAATCTCTTGAGAATCGGGCTCAAAATATACGTTATACGAGCTTGATAAAAATCTGTATGTAATATCGGACTGTAATAAAATTCATTTTTATTTTTTTTTATTTTTTTTTATACATTTTTTTTTTTGTACATTTAATACATTTATTTTTATACATTTTTTACATATTTATACATTTTTATACATTTTTATACATTTAAAGTAGCAATTAAATACATATGTATTACGTATACTGTGCCATCCGATACGTGAAATTATTTATTACGAAAATGAACAAATATTGTATCCATACATGTTACGATATTCGTACTATCGCATAGACTACGTTATTCATTTTTATACTATTTTGATAAATTTTGATTGAAAATTTTCAAATTCGAGTCACTCTATTCAAATCTATCGATTGGGTGCTAGAATCGCGCGCGACGCTACTGGACGAGTCCGTATAGGGGGCCGCGCCCGCCCGATTCTCGTTGCCATAATGTTGCATATATTACAGAAATTACGTCGTTTTGTTTGCAGAAAGCTCGATCGTAGTTGTCCACGACGTTAATCGAAGCTACTCAACAAGTTTGAGTGTCTGTCGTGATGTACTTCGAGAGATTTTTGGCGTGGAATAGCGGCTTTGCGGACTACTTCTCGTCGCGTAGTATTGAGCGCTGCGGCATAGACGCCTTAGTAACAGATTCGAGCAGCTCGCGAGTAAACATTATCAAATATGTACAAACTCTTATACGAGTAAGTTGCAGTAGGTTGTGAAAATTCTTTCTATTTATTTTAAGAATAACGTTCTAGTAACACCATTTTGATTCCATTCCTTTTTATTTTGAGTGTTAATGCTAGAACCTCGTGTGTTATGTTCTATCTAGAATTTTGCTAGCTATCTATATATGTATATATATAGCTAGCTATATATTATGTGTGCTTTTAACAAACTTTACCTAAGCATCGTGTTGTTAAGTATTAGCTTATTATTCTGTGTAGAATTCAATAACCTTTTTCAGTCCTTTTTCAGTCTTATGATTGATCAACTTTCTTTCTATTGAAGCGTCGTTGGGTTAGGTTTACTTAGATATTGTAATTTTCAACAGCTAAACTGATTAATATTTTTTATCAAAAACAAGAATACCAAAATAACGAGGCAAAAAAAGCAATACCATATCTCGGATTTTGCTACTAAATTTTATAAGCATCGAAGGAAACTCAGTAGATCGAAAAATTTTTTCTTTATCGATGTTTAACATACTGGTATTTCACGCGAGTTATTTATGCATATAGTTATTGCCGGGCAAAAAAGCATACTATCTGTGTTTCGTTACGAGATCTTGGGTAAGAAAAAAATGGAACCAAAGCAAAGACCGATAAGCAGTTGGAAGTTAGATAACAAATTTAGAGATTTCTACCTCGATTCGTTCGCCAGGTCGCATTCTCGAGTCTTTTTTCTCGTCGTATAATACCGCAAAAGCTCACTTTTGTTCGGATGATATTCGTAGATGTTTTGAAAAAACAAAGGAAGCGGTTCGAAATACGATGTCGCGATAGCGATGATGAAAATTTGTAAATATTGACGCGTAGCCGAAGTGGTCAAACGTTGGTTCGTATTTCGAATTCCGTGGTCGAGACGTAGTTCTTAAAGCAGCACTTTGTTTAGACTGGAACCGTCAATAAGGACGCGGCAGAAAGTCAGATCATCCTTGACAGTTCACACTCGACTGGTTCGTACGGAAGCAACGTAGTATTCGGCCTCTAAAGTCGCTGTGAAATTCGATAACTTTGAAAATCGATCCAGTTTCAGAGGTTGCGAAATCATCCGCCCTCCAGAACCAATGAACAGCTAATCTCGCAGAAATCTGACTTCTGCGTCAAATCGACTTACGAATTCGTTTGCGCGAACAAATTCGTGTCGAGAACACTCGTTGGTTCGATTTTATTTCTTTGTCAATACAGTTTGACGACTGAAATTTGTTTAGGATTTATTGTTCGATCGGTTATCTATTGTCTTAATTGAAATTTCTCTACGATAATTTAGTACCTTTGATAATCTTTTCAAATTTTTAGTACGTCTGATGATTCATATATAATTCTTAAATATTTACGAACGTGAAATATCCTGGAGAAATTGAAAAATAAAAAGTGTGTATTGAATGATTAATATTATTATAACCTTATACGGTGAACCGAATAGAATGCTTTCGGCAAATTGCTAGGGAAGGATAACCAAAGATAGTCCCTAATTATCATAAAAGAATGACATGAACCGTTATGTCGTTTCCCAAACGTCCTTGGGTTTTGAAAACTATCAATGTGGAATTTCGCACGGCAGTTTATAGTGAATGCTCTTCACAATAGCTTCATATATTTTAAGAAAAACTATGGGCAACAGGAATTGTCGTCGTGATATTTGTCATTCGACCATGTTTTTC